CTGTGTATAAAACCAGGGCTATTGTGAGGTTCATCTTGTTTGATTTCCTTTTCTTAGGATCACAGTCCTGGGCTTTCTGTTGTCCAATGTTTGTTACCAATTGTTTTAGATATTTTGTTCATTTGACTTGTTTTATGGCAGAAGGCAAGTCAAAGAAAACGTACTCCTTTATAGACAGAGTAAAAAATGGTGCAATGTTTCTGGAGGGCAATTTGAGAAAATATATCTAAAATATAAAAAGAAAAGAAAGAAAGAAAGAAAGAAAGGAAGGAAGGAAGGAAGGAAGGAAGGAAGGAAGGAAGGAAGGAAGGAAGGAAGGAAAGAAAAGAAAGAAAGAAAGAAAGAAAGAAAGAAAGAAAGAAAGAAAGAAAGAAAGAAAGAAAGAAAGAAAGAAAGAAAGAAAGAAAGAAAGAAAGAAAGAAAGAGGGATCCCTGGGTGGCGCAGCGGTTTAGCGCCTGCCTTTGGTCCAGGGCGCGATCCTGGAGACCCGGGATCGAATCCCACGTCGGGCTCCCGGTGCATGGAGCCTGCTTCTCCCTCTGCCTATGTCTCTGCCTCTCTCTCTCTCTCTCTCTCTCTCTCTCTCTCTCTCTCTCTTTCTGTGACTATCATAAATAAATAAAAATTAAAAAATAAATACATCTTAAAAAAAAGAAAGAAAGAAGAAAAGGAAAAGAAAAGAAAAGAAAAGAAAAGAAAAGAAAAGAAAAGAAAAGAAAAGAAAAGAAAAGAAAAGAAAAGAAAAGAAAAGAGATCGGGGTCCCTGGGTGGCTCAGTTGGTCAAGCATCCTATTTGTAGTTTTGGCTCAGGTCATGATCTCAGGGTCATGAGACTGAACCCCCTTTATTGGGCTCTGCAATCAGCAGTGACTCTGCTTGAAGATTCTATCCCTCTATTCCTCCCCCTGTCCCTGCTAAAATAAATGTCTTTAAAAAAAGAACTCTCAAAAAAAAAAAAAAAAACACAACTCTCTTGGACGGAAAGAGAGAGAATTAAGTAACAATCATTAGAAATGTCACTCCCAGGAAATCTTCCAAGACAATAACCAGAAAAGTTTACAAAATAGCTCCGGTAACACTTGTTAGTGTTGTTTACAATATAAAGAAATATAAGTAATTCAAAGCTAACAATAGATTTTTTTAAATTATTTATACAATAGTGTAGTGGAATAATCTTTAACTGTTAATGCAGAAATATTCACTGACTTACAAAATATCCAAAACATTGTTGCAGTGTCACAGTATATGACATATGCTAAAAATATTACAATTATCACCACGTTATAGAATTACTGGTGATTGTCTAATTTCTTCCTTGCATCCTTGATTTTTTTTTTCATATCTTGAAAATAGTTACCTATTACTTTTATAATCAAAATAAAGTATTTACCATTTTGAGAAAAAAGTAATTCTTATTTATGATCCCTGATTGTTATTCAAAATAAATTAGAAAGATTTAAGAGGTCCTAAACTATGCTTTCAAAAAATGCCAAGGGCATCCATACAGTTTATCTACATGCCTCTGATATTTATAAACGGAATGTGAGCTTGTTAGTTTTGGCCAATACCTAGCAAAAAGAAATGTCTGTATGTGTATAAATAGGAATTCAATAAGTAGTTAATAAATTTAGTTGATAAGAAATTTTTGTAGACTTTAATAAGGATTCCTTAAAGCAACCTAGGAAGAAAAATTGGCGGTATAATTAAAGAGCCATAAAACATAGATATTCTATTTATGAGAGGGTGGGGTAGGGAGATAAATATCACTCAGTGATATTTCACAGCTTCTTTCTTATAAACCCATACTTTTACAAAACCTGATATGAGTATCTTAGCCACCTGTTGATTTGGGGAATTTTAGTTAGAAAAGGGAAACACATCAGGTCAGCTCGACAATTCTGTTTGAAGTGAAAAAAAGGAGACAAGAAGCCACCTAAGGAAAAACTATCACTCTCCAGAGAACTGGCAAAATAAGAAAATTAGACTGACATTTATTTTTCTTTATAAAACACTATCTTCTTATAATCATTATTATCACTAACAAAAATATAGACAGAAAAAAACAGAACTTAAATAACAGGTTATTCCAGTACTGACTTTTAAATATATAGCCCAGACAGAGAGAGAAGGAGGAGTGTATGGGTAAATATAGATAAGATATAGATGTAGAAAGATAAATATATTCAGAGGCATGGGCATAAATTGAGATATAAAACCTAACAATGTTCAGACCATTTTGAAACATTTTTTTTTCTGTTAAAATTACACAGTGGGTATCATTCTATTGGTATCTTTTTGATGGAGTTTGAGTCAGATAAATGTGCATTTTAGGTCCTGGCCACTACTTGCTCCTAGTGTGATCTTGAACAAATTATTTCACTTCTCTGAGCCTCAATTTTCTTTCTTTACTAAAATGAATAAAACACCTGAGCCTCCACATGCGGTTGAGGTGATAGTTCCATATGATAATGCAAGGCCTGATCATAATAGGTTCTCAGAAAACTGTGGATATAATACAGATTATTGTTTTTAACTGTTATTATAAGATTTACAAATAACTGTGATACACAGTTTTTAGACTGTTTTTCCAAATCTCAGGGAATCTCTCTTAGCTGTTCCCCCGCAACCACAGGAGTAGAACATTCTGTTCTATGTAATAAAGTTCATTCCACAGGTTACAGTTGACCAAACAAGTATGTACATAAAACTCCAACTAGGAAGACCAGAGATTTCCTCCTCCGCCCCCTGCAATTTTGATTTGGGATTGAAGGAGAATTAAGGTTAGGCTTGGAACACGTAACGTCAGGAGCTGTATGTGTACAGCCATGTTCAGCCCTGGGACCAGAGAGGGACAGCTAGTCACAGAAGGGAGAATAATGAAGCTGATATTTGGAGGAAAAGGAGATAAGAGATGAAGAGTGTAATTAGTCTGGATGACTTATGGCTCTTTCATCAATTTTAGTCTTTCCAAGGCCTACCCCTTGGATTCCATGAATAGATGGACACTTATCGGTTCAGTAAATGTGAGAATACCTCTTTGATCTTTCGCCAATTAAATTCATAAGGAAACGGTGTTGAGAACCTGTTCTGTTACTCTCAGAGATGTTAACCTGACCAGTGATACTGATATTTGTCAGAGATTGTATGAAAATAATTGGTGAAAGAATTGATGAACAACTTTCTTCTTAGAAAGCAATTGCTGTGATTTAAGACTAATCCATCTTTTCTGGGGGGAAGACTGGGAGAATGGTAATTTTGAGTCACAACCTTGAGTGGAGGACCTGGAGGGGGGCCACACTGAAAGTTTTGGAATGTAAAATGTGTTTGCTCTCATTGGAAGGTAAAAAAGGAAGGATCCTGGCTCATGCCTTGTAGACCTTAACCTACAGAAAATCCCAATCTATAAGGCTAGATTAGACAGGCCACGTATGGTAGGCAGTACAAAGGTCCCTGAAGATGTCCATGTCTTAATCCCACAAGCCCAAGTACTTCCGAGGTAGTTCTCAGATTACAGGAAAAAAAAGGGAATTAAGGTTGGATATATAATTTTTACTAATCAGGTGACCTAGAGATGAAGAGGTTATCCTGAACCATCCCAAAAGGCCCAATTTAATGATATGAGTCCTTAAAAGTAGAAGAGGAATGCACAGAGGGTCAGAGAGGTATGATTTGAAGACGACTTGATCTGCTATTGTTTGTTCCTGAGACAGAAGGGGACACAAGACAAAGAATGCAGGTGGCTCTAGACGATGGGAAAGGCATGATTCTTCTTCAGGCCTCCAGAAAGAAACACCATCTTGCAGACACCTCAGTCTTAACCCATTGAGACCCCCTGTTGGACCTCTGATCTACAAAACTACAAACCAGTCTTAACCCATTGAGACCCCCTGTTGGACCTCTGATCTACAAAACTGTTGGGCAATGGATTTGTTTTGTTTTAAGCCATTAAGTTTGTGTTAATTTCTTATAGTGACAATAGAAAACCAATATGCCGGTACATTCTAATTACTGAACTCAAATTATGTTTGTGGCTTAAAGTAACTGTAGGTAAATTCTATCCTATAGGAGTAAAAAGCCATGACATCTGCCAGGGTTTTTGTCCATAAAAGAGGGACACTTTCCATAAAGTTTAAAGGGGTAATGGAAAACAACAGTGAATTCAGGCTGTGAACACATCAGGAAGGATTCTTGCCCAATCGGCTAGTTATAATAAATGTGCTTTTTTAAATTTTTTTTGTAATTTCTTTAAGGTTAAAGCTAGCTAGAATTGGTTTTGAATTGAATCGGTTTCGTTATTTATAACCAAACAGTTTTAATGACTAGAACTGTTAGAGATAATTACCCCAACAACAGGTACAAATGGCCTCAGGCAGGGCTGCTGACAGTCCTAAATGAGAATGATATCTAGGGCTTCTAATTTATTTTTTTAAACAATAGTAAATCATAGCACACACTATAAGGAACACCTCAGTGCATCCCTACAAAAACTTCAGAAAAGCCAACACCATGTTTAAACACTGAGGAACAGAGGTTTGAAAAGCTTTAAAAACATGGCAAAGGTCCTAGGTGATGGAAATGGCATTCGGAGACACCTGTTCTCTTTCCTTTTTTTTTTTTTTTTTTTTTATTTATTTATGATAGTCACAGAGAGAGAGAGAGAGAGAGGCAGAGACACAGGCAGAGGGAGAAGCAGGCTCCATGCGCCGGGAGCCCTACGTGGGATTCAATCCCGGGTCTCCAGGATCGCGCCCTGGGCCAAAGGCAGGCGCCAAACCGCTGCGCCACCCAGGGATCCCCCTGTTATCTTTTTGATACTGAAACTCTATTATATCATTCATTCATTCTCTAAATGTTCGTTGATTACTCAGTATTTACCAGACACTATTATACCTAGCTAACTGACCTTTAACGAGTCCTCATTACATGCCGAGTAACTTACATATATTGACTCCTGTAATCTTTCTTCTATCATGTCCATTTCACAGATGACACCCGGAAAGAGGACCTGGGAGTGACAGATCCAGGACTCAAACGAGGCAGTATGGTTCTTAGTGACCCCTTAACCACCGATCTCTACTGCTGCCGGTGCTGGGTGCTGACTTTACAGATGGAGTTTCCGCTGGTCTCACAGAGGTTGCATTCTAGTCGGGGACACAGAGGAGAGCAAAGCAAGCAAACAAACAAGTACCAGCTGCAATAGGGATGTGTACGAAAAGGTCAGGATGCCATGTGAAAGGATAACAACCTATCAATAGTAGTTTTAGGGAAGTAACCTTAAAAACAGAGGTAAAATGTGAGGAGCCATCCACAGAAATATTTGGAGGATAGAGGGGGGAGCATACTGGGCGGCATGGGAGAAAGCCTGGAGGTAGAAAAGAACGTGGTTCCTTTCTTTCAGCTGAAGGAAGGCCACTGTGCCTGAATCCAGCAAAGCAGTAGTTACATAGGATAAAACCCCGAGAACCACAGTAATAAACGGTCAGATTTAATATGGGTTTTATAGTTCTTCATTATGTGAAATAAAATCTCCCCACAAAATAAGAATTATTAATCAAAAAATCTTATTTTCAAAATGCTTTATATGTGTCTAATAAAAGAAACCATTTCGACTGGCTTCCCTTTATCTGTGCTGGAGGGACAGGCATTGCCATTTGGTGCCATAAGTGAGCAAAGCACGGCCATCACCGAATGGCAGCTCTTCCTCTGCAGACACAAAGGTCTCTACAGCCTAAACAATAACCACCTAGTTCACTTGCTCAATTCACTCCTAATTACCTGGTTATCTGCTCAGTTCCTTTAGTCTATATACTCTGAGCTCAAACTGTCAGTTTCATTGGTTATAAGTGAAATCAATGATGTTGATGTATAATACATAAACTGTTGCAAATATCTACAGGTGTATACATATAACTCCTAAATATTCAATTCATAGGGGACGCCTGGGTGGCTCAGTGGTTGAGTGTCTCCCTTCGACTCAGGGTGTGATCTTGGTCCTGGAATTGAGTCCCACATCAGGATCTGCATGGAGCCTGCTTCTCCCTCTGCCTGTGTCTCTGCCTCTCTCTGTGTGTCTCTTGTGAATAAATAAAATATTTAAAAAAATAATTCATAAACCTCTCATATCTACTAATACATTTGAACTATGAACTTTAATTATTGAACATAGTAAATTCATAGTCAAAATCAGAATGTTGCTCAGAAATTCTGTGAAAGGGAATTATCAGTAATATTCTTTTCTTAAAAAGTATAAGACATAATGTCTTCTTATGAATTCATTAAAAATATAATTCCTTATAATTAATATTTTATAAACTAAAATATCAAATTCTATATATGCATTGACTTTTCCACTCAAAAAATTTTAATTTATTAATTTTTAAATATTTTATTTATTCATGAGAGACACAGAGAGAGAAGCAGAGACACAGGGAGAAGGAGAAGCAGGCCCCATGCAGGGAGCCCGATGTGGGACTCGATCCCGGGACCCTGGGGTCACGACCTGAGCCAAAGGCAGATGCTCAACCACTGAGCCACCCAAGCGGTCCAAAAAAAAATTTTTAAAGGTATATTTATTTTAGAGAGACAGAGAGAAAGAGAACACAAATGTGGAGGGGGGCAGTGGAAGAGGGAGAGGGAATCTCAAGCAGACTCCCCAGTGAGCACAGAGCCCATCACAGGGATCAATCTCATGACCCCAAGATCATGACCTGAGCCAAAACCAAGAGTCGGATGCCCAACCAATGAGCCATCCGGGTGCTTGCCCCTGTTACAATTTTAATGTAACAAATAAATGACATATCACTAGACAAAATTACATGTAATTACAATCATAAAAAATAAGAAAGAGCCTATGAAACTCAGTCTAATAATCCATTTAAATTATGATGATGGTTACTCCCCTATAACTCTGATCCTCAAAATAACAGAAAGTGCTAAATATGGAAGAATAAATCCATCTGGCTTCTAGAGCTTAAGAATTGATATTTCGTTTGAAATAAAATAACTATGCCAAGTTTATTTTATAGAAATCACTAAAATTTGTATTGGCTTCCTCTGAGATTAAAAAAAAAAGATTCTAAAATAATATTGCAAAAATAATAATTTGTGTTACATAGAAAATACTAAGTTTTCATAAAGAATAGAGGTTTGTAAGAATGGGATTGCTCTTATAACTGCTGGATGAGCATACTCTTGCTTAAAGATGATGTTAAAGTATCATTTCATTTTGCCAAGTGATACATATAAAATCTGTTGACCTATATAATCCTACTTATTTAAAAATTCTGGAATAATCTATGCTTTAAGGTATTGAAATTATATATGTTGCTGTATATTTGGGCTTATTGGTATTTTGCAAATTTGCCCTCTAGGAATACTGCAGTTTTATACTCCAGCGAGGAATATAAAGCATTTGCTTAACAAGAATTTGGGTCGGCCAAAAAAACCCTTCAAATGGAACATTTTAATTAGAACCTCTCAATGAGAAAAACTGCAAGTTTTTTTTTTCTTTTTCTTTTCCTTTCTTCTTCCTTTTTCTTCTTTATTTTTTAAAGGAAAAGCAGCTCTATTATTATGTTCTTACAAAAAAACAAAAAAAAAAAAACAAAAAACAAAAAAAAAAAAAAAAAGAGAAAACCCAGACACTTGGGAGGAAGACCCAACCTGGTTTTAAATTATATTCTTCCAAAAGCATAGATTTATAAAGATATAAACTACTTTCACCTTTTACATCCTTTTAACACCTTTAGCAGAAATTACCTTATAAAGTATGCCTAAGTGTCACAGCCAAGTGGAAAGACCAGGATACAGGATTCTGTGTAAGTGTTTTGCGCTTTCCTTTTTGTCCTATTTATTGACGAAAAATGCTGTCTTTTCCCTCTCAACAGATCAAGAAAGAAATATTCAGTCATTTCGATAGAAACAGGGACTAAAACGGAGTCGCCAGTGGGATACTAAACGGAAGAGCCCCTAGTGTAGGTTTCCCAACCATGCAGGCCATCGACTGCTTCCCTGCACCCCCAACGCACCTGCTCTTGGTCATCTGGGAACAACACGCCCGCCTCCTGTGTGCTTACCACGCCCCTACCCATACCTCAGGTAAACATACCTATAGACACAGGGTAAACCACACACTATTCGAGACCCAGCTCATTCTGTAAGTCACTGCTGAGCTGATTTTCTTTGCATCCTCCCTTGTTCCCGACCCCGGGCCTGCCTGGGGCTCCGTGTTCCTGTGATGGCGATGCTGCCCATTTGTGGGCAGAGGTTTACAAAATCTATGTTGAAGCCAAATCAGCCCTGGCAGACTTCATATTTGACCCAGAAGTTGTTTTCATTTTCAACTGGCCCAATATTTTATATTTTATGATTTACCATATAATTCCAGAATTTTCAGCTTTGCTGCTTAAAAATTAAAAAAAAAAAAAAAAAGAAAAAGAAAAAGAAAAAGGATCTTCTACATTTTCACAGGGCAAAAATCCTTTGAATTAGAGCGTAGCTCCTGCACGATGCGCAGGACCTATTAGGTTCACCACCTTCCCTCTGGTCTCCCCATTCTGGGCCCATCGCATAGTGTTGCACTTACAGGATGTATGTGTGCATTTTTATCACAGAAACCTAGAAAACTATTTCTCTGCACCTAGCCCACTCAATTCTACCTTTTTTTTTTTTTTTTTTTAACCATTCCTCTCTATACATTACTTGACTTTGGTATCTATCCCTAGGCTGTTGGGAACATGATCCCAGGAAATATAAATACACATGCCATGTATTACTGCCATTATCCTTACTATTGCACTATTGCAGTCGTTTTTAACTATGACTTCTTCATTCCCTCACTTCCAACTCATTTTCAATGCAATGAAAAATATCCATGTGTCTCTTCCCCAGCCGTTCTTCTGTTTAACGTGCTGGACATGCAATGACCACGAGAGAGGCCGTCGGGAGGTAAAGCTATGGATAAGTCTCACCCTGGATCATTAATATACATCCACAGAAATTAGTTTAAATAGCATCCCATCGTCTTACCTTCCTCCCGGATAACTGGCTTCTTGCCCAGCACTAAACACAGCAGGCCCAGAGCAACACCAGAAGTCCCACCATAAGCTTCTGGAATCAGCTGACAGCCAGAGCGTCCGCTGGGAAGTCGCACCTCCGCATAATTGCCCGAAAGTCCTGCAGGCCTCGCTAGGCTTGGTTTCAGGGACTAGTGGTTCGTTTGCTCAATCTGTCTGGTAGCTTTACCAGGGGAAAACTGGCTTTTCATCACTTGCAGAATGAGAAATGTTACATTCTTTGAAAATGTAATCAAGCTTTTTCGGGTCTCTGTGAAAGGTTCAGAAGAGAGCATGTGTTTCTGTTTAAACGCTAATAAAAAGAATGGCAAACGCTACCTGGTCATCTGTTACGCGCCAAGTGCTGAGCTAGGGGGCTCACGCGTATTTTTTCATTATACCTCTCAACCTTCAGCTAGGAGCTGTCATTCCTCTTTTTATAGATAAAGGAGCTGAATCTTCAAGTAAAGGTAAGATAGATTGTCTAACATAATAGGATTTATAACTTGAAATTCCGGCATCTATAGATGGTTGATGCCAAACGTGTAACATTTACTGATTTTACAAAGCTGTGCTTTGCCTTCATTCAAATCTACTCCCCCCCGGTCTCCTAAGGGGAGTGGGGCCTTCCTTAGTTAATGAGCAAACAGGCCAAGAATCAGCGCTTGACGAAAAATCTGAAAAGAATCATCATACTGGAAAGAGCTGAGGATATTTATCTGGGGAAGGACAAAAAAAAAAAAAAAAAAAGAAGAGACGTAGTGCTGTTTCTGAACATTTGGAGGATGAATTAGTTGTGCCCTAAAGGTCATGCAACTTGTGAAGGAGGGGCTTTTTATGAGAATTAACACAAAATTACAAATGCACAATTAGTTATTAAGGTGAATATTTAGGGGCGCCTGGGTGGCTCAGTCCGTTAGGCATCTGCCTCTGGCTCAGGTCATGATCCCAGGGTCCTGGGGTTGAGCCCCATCTCAGGCTTTCTGCTCAGCCAAGGGCCTGCTTCTCCCTCCCTCCCTCTGCCTGCCGCTTCCGCCTACTGTGCACTCTCCGTCTGTCTAATACGTAAAGAAAATCTTTAAAGTGAATATTTAGAATCATAAAAAAGTCCAAATTTTCAAATGCCAACTTAAATTCCATTCATAAAAAATGTTCAGGAAAATAAAATAATATTATTCTTTATTAACTGCCTAGCATACTTTTATTGCACTTTCCCCCCACAATTTCGTCCATGTATTCTTGATTATCTCTTTAATCATTTTATGGCAAAGATCTTGCAATTTTTTTTCTATACAGAAAATAGATAATTAGGTTTCTTTGGTATGGTTGATTAAAAATTATTTTTTGTTGATATATTAGAAGAGTTTCTGTCAGCTTCACAAGTCATCATTGAAAACATAAATTTTTAGGTTCGTTAACAAATTAGAGAAAACCTCTATCAAGTTTCTTTCATTTATAAGTTGTCATAGACATACTCAGGGTTTATGTTACTGTTACAGTTTTATAGAATACGAGCATAGTGATTCTGAAGAATTCTATTTTGTTCAATTTCATGGAAAATGAAAAAAATACATATGGTACTTATAATTGCATATGCTCCATTACGGAGCATACTCCTGAGAACAGAAATCACTGGCTAGAGGAGCCTCCACTTAACAATTTTACGCATGTGACAATTAGATTCTCATCAACTGGTTTCTGACTTCATGCATTCAAATATCCGCTACCCACATACTTAAGGTGTGAGACATTTTAGGACATGTTCATATTACGGTGTGACTTCTGGCCACGTATCTTTGTGCTCTAGCAGAGTTAGCAGTAGCGATTTCCTAGAAGCCATTCCTGTGCATTGGAATGGAGAGCAGTTAACCTAAAAACACACGAAGATTACCACGAGCCACATAACGCCTGCCCTACCGAGCCCAAACTAAGTGCATTCCCAACTGAAGCATCCCATAATCAGATCCCCAACCTGCCCCAGCCCCTCTAGCACCTCCCACCCCACTGTACATGAAGAAAAATATAAGGGAGGATAAAGTGGACGAGACCTGTCCTGTGATTAAAATATCTTATTTTTGCTAACCTAAAAAAGACATATGACCTTCCGAACTATTCCCGGGGCCCCCTCCCAGAGCTTGGCGAGTGGTTGGTGCACAGAAGATGCTTGAAGCTTAAGCTGTATTAATTTCACAGTAATTCTGCTTCTGTTGGAGGGTTACTTTGTAGATAAAGGACACCTGTCTTCTGTGCTTTTCTGTAGAGCGCGGGGCTACATAGCTTGGGGCAAAAACTATAGGCAAGAGGTTTCTGGTTCAGCTTTAGAAAGAACTTGCTAACAAGGAAAGGTATCCAGTAATATTGTGGGCTGCAGCAAAAAGTTGTGAATTCCCATTACTGAAAGTAGTTGAACAAAGCAGCTATGTGACATCTGGAAAAGATACGATCGTCAATGAGAAGTCAGGCCTAGAATACATGTGTGACGCTTTTATAGCTCTAAGTCACTGTGACATTTAGTTTTGCCACACTAGGTCCTTTTTGATTATTTGTAAGAATTTTGTTGGGAAAAAAATAAAGCTAGTATGAAGAATAAGTGTCTAATAAAGAAATTTAGTTATTCAAAGAAACTGAAAATTTTATATTAAAATTCCCTTATTTCTTCTACATAATTCATTGGCTCTTTTAAAAAAAGAAACAAAGATAGAAAAAGCAAACTTCTTACAAAACAAAATCTTAAAAAAAAAAAAAAGTGGATGTGAATGGAGCTGTTCAGTTTGAAGCGAGGGTAAAAGACTGAAAACATGCCTTTGCCCCTTTATCTTCCTCTTGACCCCACAGTGACCTGCATGGACTCCAACAGTTTCAAATTTAGGGCTCCATGAAAGTCAATGCTCTATCCCCTAGACTAAGGGCCTCCTCATGAATTTCTACTATCCAAGTGAATTTTGATATCTGAAGCATTTTTATAGTCAGCCTTAAAGCAAAGAGACTTTTGTGAAAGATCTCAACAGGGCTTCTTAAACTGGGGCATGCATATTCCAGGTGTGACAGGTAAAGGAAGGAGATAACAGGACGCACAAGATAAAGGCGGCACAGCTCCCTGATACAGCTGTTCTACTTGATGTTAAGTATGTACAACGTTACTTTTATATTCAAATAGATATAACAGATGCAAAGTAAGGGAGGCCTGGGGGGCTCAGTGAATGTGTCTGCCTTTAACTCAGGACGTGATCCTGGGGTCCTGGGATTCAGTCCCACTTTGAGCTCCCTGTGGGGAGCCTGCTTCTCCCTCTGCCTGTGTCTCTGCCTCTCTCTCTCTGTGTCTCTCATGAATAAATAAAAATCTTAAAAAAAAAAAAAAACAGAAACACAAACGCAAAGTAATATTTATAGAATTCTGAAAGACAAAATCCGTAATTTCAAAGAAAATTCCAGCTGGCTATAGAAAGTTGCTGTTAGGAGCTCAAGCTTTGCACAGAGAATGTGTTTTATTCATGTTGGCAGTAAGGAGTATTTTAGGGAGAGGCCCTGCATTAAGCTAATAGGTTCAGAATTGGACTTGGAAGCTGGACATATGTCTCTAATCTCTGCTCCAGGAGCGTACGACCACATAAAAGTCAGAGGAAATGGCACCTGTCTCCCTTACTTGGCTGCAAAGATAAAAATCAATCCAAGTGATTCTTATTAAACAACTTCAGAGTTCTTGGCATTTCAAAGGACACTATGGGGTAAAGATGTATAACAAAGTGCACAGTCTGTGTCCTTTAAGAGGCTGCAACCTAGTAGGGAAAACAGAGACAAATCGATGACTAATCCGAAATGGTTATCAGATGAAGGAAGCCCAAGCAGCTGTGTTGGCAGAGCAAAATAAAATCACATATTTTCTGTGGACTAAGGTTACTATAGAAATATATGGAAATGGTTTTATTATTGACAGTGAACATGTAGCTATCCACAATCTGAAGGAAACAGTTTCCTGATAAGACTATTTGAAGAAAAGGAACATCCATGAGAGCCAGAAAATAATTCTAAAATGCTGATTAGCAATGGAGTTAAACAGAGTTTATAAGAAGCTAAAAAGCTATGCGTGTCAAATTAAAATTCTAAATGCATCACCCTAAGGAAAATGATAAACATCCCTAATCCTCTTTTGGAAAGTATTTGTTTTTAATTTTATTACTATGTACTCATATCAATTTGTACTATGAAGAGCTTTCGGTAAGAGTCACGTTACCGTACTTTCATATGGGGTGTTTGCAGGGATATTTTGCCAAATACCTATATCAAAATAACCAACCCACTCCATAATTCTAAGACTTGATATTAAGACTGTAGGTGATTTTGTCATTTTACTTGATTCCTGTGGATTACCCAGTCACTCAATTTGTCGCCACCTCCCCCCCCCCACCCCCCACCCGCTTTTCTGGATATGTTTGCTATCTCTGACACTTTCATGAAAGGAAATAACAAAGAGCTGAAGTCGAATTTATCAGCTTTAAGGTTGTAGCCGTTATAAAATGCCCAGTGACTAAAAGTGTGGACTAGAATAATATCACATGATATTTGCACTTTTCATGATGGTCTTCTCCTCCAAAATATGAAGAATCCTCAGGTATTCTAATGCATGGTCTGCTACAGGTCAGTTAATACCGCAAGGCCTGTGACTTAAGCACACCAACGACTCCCAATCATTGAGCTGGTTTCAGAAATTCCACTGCTGGTTTGCAACAACAAATAGTATAAAATATAAGGAAGGAACTGTCAGGGCTAAGAGAAAAGCAGCTTCAATAAGATAATAAAAGCAAGAAGGTCTTAATAAGTAGTTAAAAGAAAGAGTTTGAGACTCTAACATACCTGATTTAGAAATCAAATTCTGCTACTTGGATTCTCACACGGGGGAGCTTTGGCAAATTAATCTAAATCTCCTGTGGCCTTGTTGGTAATGCTGTACCCATGATTACTAAAGGAATGACTGTGTGCATGGGAAGGGGAAAAAGGAAAGAGACAGGGAGAAAAAGAGAGGATTTTATCTATCTCTGTATTTATCACTGAGGTGTACACAGTACACTATACAATCTAAAGACATTGTATATGATTATATAATCAT